CATGCTTTGCTTTGAAAGACTTTTTATGAAAATGGTATCCTTTTGCCCAGGTTTTTTTTACTCATTTCAAATTCATGACACTTTATGGATTTCCTTTATGTGATTTTATAATGAACCATTCCTTAATTCTTGTAGGAAAAAAGCTATTTATGTAAAACCATTTCCCCCTTTCAAGCCAGTTTAAAACCACACACGTTTTTCCTTTGTTTTCAAAGATACCAACATTGCTCTCACTGCCATCGCAGGACAGACTTTTGATTCAAGGGTGTTAACATATTGGTACCAAAGTGGATGGAGAATAAGGCATAGGCAATAGCTTAAAAAGTGACAATGCCAGGTTAATAATAAAACCACCATAGCCTATTGTCTTTATTATCAAAGTTTATTGTTGGGGTGAGTTCCTATCTACTGGGGAGTAAAACTATGTCTCAGTATGTGCTACAGTAACTCTAGGGTCAAAGGCATTCTGCAAAATAGTTGTACTGGGGCTCTGTTAGGCATAGGTCATAATTCAGTCAGTGGAGAATGAGCCCAGAAAAACCCTGACAGTAGAGCCATTACGCTAGAAAAGTTCCAGTGCTATGCAACCTGCAAGGTGTCATCAACCAGTTGATGATGAGGCTGAAGGAATTGTGGGGATGGAGCAGGAGTCGAACCCATTTTCTACTCTTCTCAGCAAGGTAACTAAGGCTCCAACACAGGAACCTGAAATTAGGTCTTATGAAACCCCAAAGCAAGTGAAGACAGACAAAAGAGGAAAGGGCCAGCAATGAGGGCAGTGGAGGATTAAGTAGCATTGAAGGGGATGAAAATTTGTGAATGGAAAGTACCTGGATTTAAAGGCCGAGATGACAAGGAATAGAGTAGGTAAGAACAAATGGAGAAACAATTCATATATATACTCAATGTTATTCATATACTAGAGATTAAATGAAGTGTCTCCCTTTGCAGGGCAACTGGATCCAAAAGTATCAGAAAGGTGGATCACTAAGAAGGAAATGAAGTACCTGAGTAGAAATTGGTGTTTCAGGATGCCAAAAGCAAGCTTATGACAGAAGTGAGCTGAGTCTATAGGAAGAAGTGGTTACCGTAACCTGTTTTCTGGATTTGATACTGGAATGACATTTCTAGCAGTGGCTTTGCCTAGGAGGTTCTGGCATATTTTTGTAGCAGATTGTTTTGAAGGAATGTTTTCTTAACACTCGACTTATGTGGGAATGCAAATAATTATAGTGTAAAAATCCAATGCCCCCTCCCCCAACCTATATCCAGCAGGGAGGATTAAAAGTCCTGAAATAGCTGTGGCCAAAGGTCCAAGCCCTCCCACCACCCTTGTGATAAAAATATTATTAAAGAAATAACAAGTATCTGATGACTCAATGGGCCTTGTACCAAAGTAGACAACAGATAATTTATGGTGACTTCTTTCGTAGGCAGCCTGAGAAACAGAAAAGCTTATGTACTAAATGCTGCCCTAGCATTCAATATAATGAAAAAAAAAAAAAACAACAACATAAAAGGGGGGTGCCCATTAGACAAGAACCTAAAAAAGTCTAGCTGCCAACCAGATTGGGAAGATAAATAAAAGAGCATAGTTTATTTTAACCCCTATCGTCCATACTAACCTAGTCTGTCTATAGAAAAGCCATCCGCTGGCACCAGGCCAGTATGTCTTAATTGGTTGTTATTGTTAGTATTTCATTTGTTTTTGTTCTCCCCAGAAGAGGAAATGTGTAAGTAGCGGGTGTACATGTGTGACAACACAGCATTTCTGCAGAGCCTTCTCTGTATTCTTGAGCTGTGTGAGTGCAGGATCTACTCTTGGAAGCATCTTTGAAGGCAGAATAAAACGCTGAGGTGTTCTGCACAGAAGGGACACCAGCAGCGTTGTGCCTATCAGTGAGTCTCTTGGTGTTGAGCGAACAGTCTCTTCTCCAGGAAACACCTTTGTTCAATCCTATTTACAGTAACCTCTAAATCAAGAAAAGGGGCAGAAGCAGTTTCTTCTCTAACCACATTTCGGATGACCAAGTGTCCTAGACATAAGTGGCCTCACCGTGTGGGGCCAGGCAGTGTCCCCAGGAGAGGAAGCACAGGTTGCTGTCCAGACTCAGGCTGTTGGGAGCAGCACAGCCATTTCCTGCCTTTCCCTCTGCACTCACACGGCCAGCAGTCTGCCAGAGGATTTTCCTCCCAAAATGTTGTTATCACAGTTCTTTTTGCCTGGAAAACAGAGAAAACCCAAGTGTGAAATAATCCTTGGATTTTGAATATCTTATACAGATGTTGTTGTTGTTAAGTGCTGTTGAGTCAATTCCAACCCATAGCGACCCTGTACAGGGTTTCTGAGGCTGTAAATCTTTACACGAACAGAAAACTTCATCTTTCTCCTGCAGAACCACTAGCACTTTTGAACCGCTGACCTTGAGATCAGTAGCCCAATTTGTAACCCAAGGCCCAATTTTGTCCATTGTTCCTCCTGTATTTTTTTACCCAAGGCAAAAAAGAACAACTGTACAGAAAATTACGTCACTCAAAAACAGCAAACACTCCTGGTTGATTTTGGACATAAATGCTATCCGTGGCCTGTGTTGTAGCTGTAACTTACCTCTGAGTCCACGTCCTTTCTTTCCTCTCCTGACACTTTTTAATTGACACTCCTGGGCAGAAAGAGCTTAGATAATTATAAAAAATGACATGTAATAAGGAGATAGATAGGTAAAATGTAAAAAGAAAGGATAAGAGCTTACTGCAATTCAAAGACTAATGCACAATGATGGCAGTAAAACATCCAGCAGAAACGTAAGGCTAAATTCAAGGGTGAGAGGGTAATAGAGAAAATAAAGCAGTTTTGGTGATTCTGAATGTAGTGTAAGACTTTTCCCTTATTCTGTTATAATTCTAGGGACCCCAGAATCACAATGAGATTCAATAATAGGTACAACCTGAATGGGAGCAGGCAGAGGGACACAAGCACATCAATATATGGATATACTTATACCGGGCGAAGTGAGATGAAAAGAAAAAAAAATGCCTAAATAGTTTCAGGTCTTCTGCAAAAGCAGGAATGGCCTCTTCAGATCAAATACTGTTTGGAGGACACAATTACATTCATCCTCACTTATGACAAGGTTGGGTTTCAAAGACCACACTGTTAGGATGACCATATCTAAGGTGTAACTTTTGGTCTCTCCCTGTGTGAAGGAAAGAAGAGTGATGTACACTAAAGCTGCTTGGAAACAATGAGTCCAGTGAAGTAATGTGCCACGTGAACATCAGTCTCCATGACCCTGAGATCTGAAGAATTGGATGGTGCCTGTCTATCACTACCAGCTGCTCAGAAATGGATCACACTAGAAGGTCCCAGAGAAAAGGCTGAACAAAACTCAAAATTATAATAAAGACCAAGTTTATTGGTCAGGAAGAGACTGGAGGAACCCGAGACTATGGCCCTCAACCACCCTTTACACCTGAACTGAATCTCCCCTTCATGGCAATAATGAGGTATGCACACCATAAGAACGGTCAACCATTCAAAACCACAAGGGCAACATCTGCCTAAGGACAAAATTCAGAAAGGTTGGGAAAGGAGGAAGAATGGAAACGAGTATCACAGGAAGGAAGTAGGCTAAGTGACTTTACAATGAAGGGATTGCAGTCACTGAGATGAAACAAATGTATGATTTGTTGAATGTCAAACTGATGACCTTCACTCAATTAAGAATAAAAAGTTTAAAAGAATAGAAATAAAAGTAAGTTACTTGTTTCTCCTACTGTATTTGAGCATTCCAATCTGGGAGGGAGGGCTCATTTCACTTTTGCTAGCTCTGTTAGCCCCATCCTCCCTGCAGTCCCCTGGTCCTTTTAAAGATGCTCTTCTACAGTCAACTCTGAAAATTCCAGGCCTATCATCTTTGGCCCTGAAATTTACCTACTGTGTTTCCCGTGTTTGCACTCTGTTTTATTTTCCTTGTTGGTGCAAAGATTAATTTTAAAATACGTCCTTTTAGACATCTGCTGAGATTAAGAAATAAAGGTAAATGTCCACTCTACATGTAAAAATCACTGTGTGGGAATAAGACGGTGCTCTGAGTAACTTTTTAATTCTCTAAGAAATTCAAACAGAAGCTTGTAGGTTTCCTTTCCCTGGTGGGCACATTGTAGACAGTTGGAGGTCTTAAGGCCCAAAGGACATCTCCTAACAGGTACCTTCAGTGTTCGCCTCACCAGGCCATACACACATGGCCAAAATTTTCATTGAGATTTATAAGGGAAAGAAAACAGTTGGTTTCTCGTACAATGTCAGACCAATGTTTTACTTCAACATTACAGCTCTCAGTGAAATATTCTGGCAGTTCACTTCTGTTCATTTGATTTAGTATACAAGCACTTCTGTGCCCACAAGCTGCCAAGCAAAATGAACAGTCAATGTCCAGCAATGAAAGAGTCACAGAACGGAGCAAGTATTGATGGCCTGGTTATCTACAGATTACACTATAGGTTATAAGAGAACTTAAAAACACAGAAAAACAATTGGGATTCAGAAACTGCACGTAGGACTCAAAACACACGCCAGCGAAAAAACGAAATCCAGCACACTCACTGTCGTTGGGGTGATTCTGATTCATGGGATCCCCATGTGTCACAGAGCAGAACTGTGTTATAAGGTTTGCTTACCATTTTTACAGAGGATGTCAGGCCTTTTTTCTGTGGTACTGCTGGGTGGGTTAAAACTGCCAATCTTTTATTTAGGGTAACCAGGAAAAAGCCCACACACAGACCACACAGAAAAAAATCCACATACTAATTAAAGTTATGATTAGGGATCATCCCTGTGCACACTGATCACAGTGGGGTTTTTTTCTGTGTGGGCTTCTTTTCAGTGCATTTTCCCCCCAAGAACCTTTGGTTAGTAGTTGAGCACCAACTGTGTGCACCACCCAGGAAACTCTACCAGGAGAGACAGTATTTATTCCCGATTGCTCACCTTAACGGCACCTTCAGTTGCTCTCGCTCATACTTTCAGCATCACACTCTTTTGGTGGTTCCCCTCCTCCTGGCAAGTCACTCTCGATTTCCCACAGGATGTCGTCTTCATCTTCCAAGTTGCTGGAGATGTGGCACTTCCTGAACCCTTGCACGATGGACTCACTTGAGATGCTATTCCACGCCACCATGACCCATTCCAGGAAGAGGCCGAGGGGTGGCTTCTTGGCATTCCCAGTTGGGCTCAGTGCCAGGTTCCCAGCCAGCAGCCAGTTGGAGTACTGGGCCGGTACACTGTCGTTCAGCGGTTTGTAGACCACCACATCTAGCACCTGCAGCTGGGAGGTCAGGCCCCTAGGGATGATAAGCATATCCGTGTTCATGCTGTCCATGGAGCTCTTCACCGCGTCAGTGGCGTGGCCCCGGAAGCCATTCAGAATCAGCATCCCTCGCTGCTTGGGCATGGCGCCAGTCCTCCGTTTCCACACCACTTCCAACCAATCCTGCATCAAGTCCTCTGTCATCCATCCATACCGGTGGCAGCGGATTTCCATTCCACTGGGGAACTTCCCAGGGGGAATGTATGTCCCCCTCAAAATGATATACGGAGGTAACTTCCGCCCATCAGCCAAGACGCCAAGCATTGCTGTGATTTTCAGTTTTTCTCTGCCAGGTGTCTTGACCAATACGGGCTTTCCGCCCTGGTTGTCCACGGTCACCCGTGACGGCACCTCTAAACATATTGGAGTCTCATCTGCATTCCCCATCTGAGCCACCTCATACTTATGGGCCCTCCGCAGGGCCAGGACACTCCGTTGGTAAGTGATAAGCTTCTCAGTCAGGTCCTCAGGCAGGTGCTGCGGCACAGGCACTTTGTGCCTCAAAGACAGGTCATACCTTCTCATCATTCTTCGACACCAACCCAGGCTTGCTTTGAATCCTTTCTCTGGAATGTTCATTTCCTGGGCAATTTCTAGCGCTTTCATCTGCATTGCCTCCCTGGTGATAGGGTCCCCTTTAGCCTGCATGTATCTGACATATTCAGCCACACGCTGGTCCACCAGAGCAAACCTCCCATTCTTGGGGCCCCGGAATGCACGCCTCATGGCGTGGGCGTTTTGGAGCTGTGGCTTTACTTTGCGCCAGTCACGGACATTTTTCTCCAGCACTCCGAACTGCTTGGCTGCCTGACAGTTGTTGGTGCTCTCAGCGTATTCCACCACCATTAATTTGAACCCTGCATCATAGCTGCGGCGCATGCCCCGGCTGAATTGAAACTTGGCAGCGATGTCATCAGCTGAGAGGTCATAGCCTGGGAAGCCCATGGCCATGTAGAAGGGGTAGCCCTCGCTCCACTCGGGTAGCTCTGTGAGATCCCGAGGCAGGCGGAGGCCAAAGTTGTCGAGGTGCGAAGGTGAGGTGCGAGGAAATGGGGAGGTGGCGTTCACCGGGCCTGCCCAATCTGGAGGCTTCACATCAGAGTCTTCGTTTTCTGGGAAACAAGTGGAAATGGGCACAAAGCCAATATGTAAAAAAATGATTTCCAGTTAATTCCTTGGATTTCTGGTCAAAATACCTTAGACCTTAATCTGAAGTTTACAAAATACCCTAGCTTTTAATAATAGATGTTACTGTAGGAGCCAACAAGTTGGGTTTTCAACTCACAATAATTCTATGTGACAGGAGTAGAACTGCCTCTAGCAGACTTTCTACCCATATGCCAATTTATGATTACATATTTAATTTCCACAATAATTATACCCTTTCTTTTCAGATAAGGAAAATGACACTTCAGAGGTTAAGTAACATATCAAGGTAGTCAAGTTAGAAAGTGATACTAGAACTGGAAATGACTATAAGCACAAAGTTTGGACCAAATAATAATTTGGGGGCTGTGTTTGGGTCAAAATAATTTTATGTGGGTAAGAAACCTATAAATATAACCCACAATCCCACATAATATAACTATTCAGAGGTACCATGGGCTGAACCATATCCCCTGAGCCAAGAAAATCATCAATAGCAAAAACCACACTTAGTAAACTTCATCTTGTAGACAGAAACTTGGTTTTGAGTACCAATGTTAAACTTGATTTCATCAAAAATTGAGTCTGATTTGGGGTAATTATTGCACTTCACCAAAACTAAGATGCCATTAATAATCAACTGCTCCTTTATGAGCCATTAAGAAAGAAAAAAAAACAACTCATTACTTAAACTATGACATGCCATCCATTTTAAGAGGCATTCAAACACTTTTAGGGAGATTAAAGTGGTGGTGGTGGTGGTTAAATGAGTCTTAAAATCAATGAATCATGGCATTTTAAACTCGTATAGAGAGACGGCATATCACATCATTTGGCCTACCTGGAATCTCTGCTACGTTTACCCAACTGCTGCTCTTCTAACTGTGTGCCTTGGTAAAGGACAATGTGCTGCTTAGGCAGACCTGTCTGACTGTGTACCATCACCACTAAAGCTTTTTCTGTCCAGTGTGAAATGAAGAGGAAGCCAGGGTAGGTTAACTCTGGAAGTGTGCTTCATCACACTTCTCCTTGGTTTGCAAAGGCCCTAGCACAGTACTGAGATTGGGCTACATTAACAAAAATGCATGCTAGGCCAAATGTGTCCTAAACCTCAGTTCACTTCATCTGCACATCAACCTATAGGCTTACCAATAAAGAAATGGAGGCTCAGAGAGATGAAAGAAGTCGCCTAAGGCCACACAGCATTAGAAGAATGAGAACTTTTTAATCCCTCAAGCTCATACTCTGTCTTACAATCCTGACTCATTCTTAGACCCTACAGCAGATATAAAAACTGAGACTCCAGCAGCATAAAGCTTGCATGTGGAAGGGTGCGGAAATGATTTTGAGTGCACTACCTGCAAAGGTTCCGCCGTGGAGCTGCCACTCTTTGGATTTCTGAGACTCTTCCTCCCCTTCCAGCCGAGTGATCATGTCTGGCTTAGGGAATGGGAATTCTGTTTATAGGAAATAAAACAATTGTGTGTCACTGTCCGGAAGCACTGCCAAAGTAACTATTTTATAATACTGAAGGAGTCTCTCCAGCCCCCTACTACCACCTCTGTCCTCTCAATGTGAGGATTTGTGAAAGGAAAGGGGAAATGGCTAAGGAAAAAGAAAGAAAAAAAAAATGTGGTAGAAAAGAGGCCCATGCAAGGGAATGGATGCATCTCCTCTAATGAGGTGCAGGTACGAACAGCGATTACATTTAGCAGAGAAGTCGAGGCAGCCTGATCTAATCAACTTGTGGGACCCTCCATGAGCAAATTGGGAAATTTCTCTACATGAACACATTCTAACAATATGAATTATACCAGTGTGGGAAGGGGAACGAGGATTCTTTGGGGAAATGTCGCCAAGTTTCAGGAGCTAATGTGACAGCATCAAAGTCCTTAGAAAAGCACCAACCACAGGCCCAGTTCCACGGTGAGACGTTTCTTAGGTTCTATCAGAATTTTTAATGAGAATGCCTGGGTTGCCCTGAGGGGTTTCTGAGAGGTGGCTCAAGTTGCCGAGATAAAAAGATGTCATATTATATTCTGTATATTCTGCCCAAATTAAAAATAGGAAATTTAATGGGAACACACACTGAGGAGACAGAGTCTAAGTCTAGGAGAGAGGGATGTTGGCTACATCAGAGAACAAAGATATAGAAACAATTCTGTGGGCTCAGAGTATCTAGGACACATAGGAAAACAAAGCTTTACCCAGGGAGAGGACAGTTTCATAATTCATTCGCATGACTTCACGGTAGAGCGCCTTTTGTTGTTCCGTCAAAACGTCCCACTCCTCATCGGAAAAATATATGGCCACCTCATCAAACAGGGCTGGCACCTGGAACAGTGAACAGGTCTTTCTCAACAACTAGTAGACAACACAGAAATAGATGTACAGCACAGGAAGGCCCAGCCCTGCATCTTACAGGTAAGGAGCCACGGCCCAAGGGGTTCAACCAGTGACATAACAGGAGAAGGGCACAAGTCTCCCTTGTCTCCTTCCAGCACGGCAGGCTACACACCTCAGGTCACTCAGCACCGAGATGAAAATTCTCCCCACCTCACCATCAACTGGGCGGGGGTACTGGCACCTTACTCTCACTCTCTGGGAGTCCAGTGAGAGCTGCTCACAGAATTACCCAACTCCAGAAATGGAAAATCACATCCAGGAATTATCCCAAGGAAGCTTCTCTTCCCAGGCCCATGCTCTCTCACCTCCAGAGACCCTCAGTCTATGGGGAAGGGGGCTTGATTCCAGGATTCCACTCTCTGGGATCTTTGGAGGTGGGACATGGATATTCTCCATCAATTTGGCTTCTTAAGGTGCAAGTGTTTGGCTGGCTGATGGACACAGGAGGAAGTTTCAGTTTTGCCAGGGCAGGTGTACCAGTTATGATGCAGGGTTCAAGTTAAAGGAACTATAGTCTCCATTTCCAGTCCTATCCTAGAGGTTGACTTGGAACCCAAAGGTACCCAGGGAAGAACCAGTGAAGGAAGGGATCCTTCCTGGCCTTACCAGTCTACAAGAGCACAAGTAGGAGAGAGGGGCTCATTGGAGCTTGAATTTAGGTAGTGAAATACCAGTGCACTCATTTGCTTCCCCATTGAGACCTGGTTGGCAGAAAGCCCTAAGGACAATACCTTCCTGCAGAGAGGATGGCACTACTCCCCTTTCTGGCCAGTTGGGGGAGGCTCCTGAGTAGCTAATGGCAGGCAGCCATCAAAGTCAACTTCCCTGCTTGTTTGTTAAATGTTTGTTTTTCGTTATACAGTATTTTCTTTGGGTCATGGAAACTCCTGCTCCAAAGTTCATCATATTTGTAGTAAGATAGCACTGGGCAATCTGTTTCAGGTGGTTCCTTTGTATTTCCACTTTTCAAGTTATTCCTAATGCTCAATGCAGGTGATTTTCAGAATGTTCATCTTGCTCAGCTCAACAAGTTAGTCTGGGTGGACATGGCTTTTAGGTTCTTCAGGTATGAAGCCACCGATCACTTAGCTAAACCAGCCTGTTGTCCTTCATAGAAGTCCTTATATTACCTCCCCAATGCCTAGATCTCACCTCCATGGCATGTTATATTTAAACTCAAACTAGTTACCACCAAATCAGTTCTGACTCATGGTCACCTCATGTGTGTTGGGGTGAGCTGTGCTCTGTGGGGTTTCCAGTGGTGATATCTCCAGGCTTCTTCTGTGTGGGTTCGACTTCCAACCTTTCAATTAGAGAGCACTTCCTACAGCTGGCTCTGCACCTGCTTCGTTTCACATCCTGCAGAGTGGCTAACCCTGATTTATCAAGGAGCAAACAGGCCCAGAAAGGCTGTGTTTCTAGTCTAAAGTCACAGAGCTAACACATGGCATGGTTTAGATTTGGACCTAGCACCACCACTCCAAGTCTTCTGGCTCTTATATCAAGATCAAGAGCAAAGCAACCTCTCTGGGTGACTAGATTTGGTTCTCCTCACCCGTGGGCCTGGCTATAGTCAGCTCCTTGTCATTCCCCGGATTCACAAACCATTCCCTGATGGCTCTAGGTTTCTTCCTCTGCCTCAGAGTTCCTCCCAATTCTTTTCCTGGCTAACATCTACCCATCTCTTAAGACTCAGCCTGGATGTCCTGCCCACCCCAGGAATCCCACCAGTCCTATGTGTGGTGCCCACCTACCCATTACTGAAATGCCCTGGGCTCAACACTGGTGGCACTCAACATACACTGTTCTTTTGGCTTATTTGTCTGGTTCCTATACCTGAAAGCTAAGCAGGTGGAGGGTAGAGCCTGTGCTTAGTCAAAACAAAAACAAACACACAAAACCTACTGCCATCCAGGTGTTTCTGACTCACAGTGACCGTATCAGTGACCCTACAAGGCAGAGCAGAACTGTCTCTTACGGTTTCCAAGACTATAAATATTTATGGGAGCAGATGACTTCATTTTTCTCCTCAGGAGAAGCTGGTGGGTTCGAACCACCAACTTAACGGTTATCAGCCTAATGTCTAACCCACTTGCCACCAGGGTTGCAACTATAGATTGGTGTTGTTAGTTATGACTCATAGTGGCCCTGTATAGTTTCTTTCTTTTCCAAAGAGTGGTCTGAAGGGGAAAGATCAATGTTGTAGGGCGGATGGGGGTAAGCTTTCCCAATGAAATTCTCCTAGGACAGCCCCTGTTATCCTTGAAGAAATGAGGTGTCCTGTTGTGATGAAAATATTCCTCAATGCAATTCTCCTAGTCTTTTTCTCACCAATGCAGTTTTCAATTTTCTTAAAACTCATTAATAAGCCCCTTGAATATCCTGTGCGCCTTCAAGAAAATCTTTCAAGATTACCCCTCATTATTGTTTAGTGCCATCGGTGGGTTTTAACTGAAAGCAATCCTACATAGCAGGGGTGGGGAACCGTTTTTTCCTGCTAAATTTATTAACATCATTCGTGGACCATACAAAATTATCAACTTCAAAATTAACCTGCTGCATTTGGTCAAACATTAACTTGGTTTGACACTGTAAGATAAGCACTTAATGGCAAGGTTGATTTGAACTACAAGACCAGTGGTTCAAACTCACCAGTCGCTCCTTGGAAACCCTATATAGGGTCAAAATGGTTTGGAACCAACTCGACGGCACTTAACAACAGTGATGGCTGGAAATTGGCTGACTTGGCATTTGAGGGCTTTATATGGGCCTGAGGGTTACACACTTCCCACCCTTGTTGTTTGTATAGGGTTTCCAAGGAGCAGATGGTGTTCAACCACCAACTTTGTGCTTAGCAGTCCAGTGTTTACCCTACAGCACCAGACTCCTTGGGGAGCCTCCAAAACAGTTACCATGATCTTCTGAGCTGACCTCTCTGCCTTGAATTGAACTGACCTATGAGATCCCCTTGGATGCCACTGTTTTGAATGGACCTTTTCTTTTTTTTTTTTTTTTTTCTGGAAAGGCACCTTAATGAGATTAAGACAAATGTTTAACTAAGAAAGTTGTCTGCAGGCATCCACTGATCACAGACACATGTTTAAACACATTTTGTTTGGAGTAAAATTGTGCATGTATGAACTGGAACTCAAGTAGCAACACTTTTTGACTGAACCTCATGTTTTAGAATAAACAGTCTACGCAAATAATCTCTGGACTTCCCATCTCTTATTTCACTTGGAACAGTTTCACATGACCATTCGATTTTATCTGTCACGCAACCTGGACAAAATCCTTAAATTGTGAAATACTAGGAGGTAAAATGGATTCATTTCTAGGTTTTCCTCAGACTTAATTCACTAACCAGGAAAGCTAGTCAACCTGGGAATTTTCCACCCCAGGTCTTTAAACAACTCTCCTTTTGGCCTTTTCTCTCCCTAGGAAGTTGCAGATCTAGGCCAGACCTATTTATAGTCCCTCTTCCTTTGCTATTAACACTGGACACAGGTTTGACTGTGCCCCATCACTTCAGAGGGACTGTGTCAGTAATCTGAGGGTGAACACATCCACTAAACTAAACCCATTGCTGTCAAATCAATTCTAAGTCATACCAACCCTGTGTGCCAGAATACAAGTGCCTCACAGGGTTTATATAAAATATATATATAAACGGAATCCTGGTGTGGCACTGTGGGTTAATGTGCCAGACTGCAAAGCTGTTTGAACTGCAAGATCGGTGGTTCAAACTCACCAGCTGCTCCTCGGAAACCCAATACAGGGTCGCTATGTGTCGGAATTGACTCGTCAGCACTTAACAACAACAACAACATATACATAAACTAAAAAGGATTGATTTTTAACTAAGACTTTATCTTGAGGCCATGACTAAACTTTGTCACTACCACCCTCCCCATCTATCTGGTAGAAGGGTTAATACAGTGAATGCTACAAAGTAGATATGAACATCTTGAAGGATTAGAACCAACTTTAACTGACAACAACTTTCTTCTAAGCCATCATAAAAATGTTTTAGGGAAAAAAAGAAAAGAAAAAGGGGAAGTGGGGAGCATTGGGGATTTCAGATTGAACAAAATCCTCATATATCATCTAATATATTCAATCCTGGCTAGAGTGTGACAAAATGGAAACAGGACCACTATAACACAAAACTCCCACTACAACATGCTGTACACACCTGTGTTCCAAGCCCACCCCCAGCCCCCTAATGCTTCCAACTCAACTATTTTCCAGCCTGTTGAGCCTGCCGATGAAGGAGCACGTAGATCTTCTCCTGAATCCAGTCTTTGTTGTAAGGTTGGTATGTCTGGGTATGAGCTCGGTAAAGAAGACAGCTGAGGTCTGCCAGATCATCAATAAAATCAAACAACTGACTGATACCATATGTGATTGAGTGACTGTTGGGATTCATTCTCTTCAAATGTTCTTCATACGTTTTACAAACACCTTCCATGAATTCATTCAGATTCATAGTCAGGTAGGTTCTTCTTCTGGCCTCTTGGTAGGCTGTACTAGCAAAACGGTGTGAGACATCATGCCAATCTCTTTCGCTGCAGCCTCTGCTGATACCACCACTGCACACAAGCTTAGCTGCAATGCTGCCAACAGCCAATCCCCACCCTGATAGGGTTTTTAGGGCTGTAATCCATATGGAAGCAGATTGCTATTACTTTCTCCCATGGAGTGGCTGGTGGATTCAAACTGCCCACCGTTAGGTTCAACTGTGCACTTAATCACTGCACCACTAGGGATCTTAGCACATTCTTCTTGTTATGTGCCATCAAGTCGGTTCTGACTCATATCGACCCTATATTGGGTTTCCAAGGAGTAGCTGTTAGGTTTGAACTTCCGACCTTGTGATTCAGAGTCCAGTGCTGATCCTACAGAGCCACACCAGAAGCTCTGTGGCTGTGAGAAAGTGGAAAGCTGATGCAGGATTTGACTGGGTCACAGAGGATCTTCACACAAGTCCACATTATGCTCTGGAGGCACACAGTACAGTGACTTAGAAATTCTCCACAGCAACCCTCTGTGTGAATCAAGCCAGGCTTCAGTCAGGCCCTGCTGTGCAGGCCTCTCCTGGCTTCAGAGGCCTTTTATTTGGCTGAGCACAGCAGACGGTAAACAGGGACAGCCCTGGGCAAAACTGAGAAGTCAGCCAGCTTGTGTCTAACCCTCCTGGCCTTGCAGGCATGTGCCCCCAATCCCTGCTCTCCCCTCCTTCCCTCAGAAGATCAAAGTCACATCTGAGAGGTGTTCTTCCTTTAGTCTGCAAGCACTGCCTTGCTCTGCTAGGGAAGTTGGCATTCCAGCATTGACATGAAGTGCTTAGACATTCCACAGATTCACCGAGGCTTCACAACCACCCAGTGAGGTGGGCAGGGATCAAGCAGGGAGAGAATTCGCACTAGTGGAGCCCTTGCAATGCGCAAAGCACTATGTCAGGAACTGCCCCTTATACAGTTATATTCCACCAGAGTCCTTTAAATAATCTAGGGATGTGGGTATCATCACCCACTGTTATGGAGAAAAGGAGCCCTGGTAGCACTGTGGGTTAGGCATTGGGCTACTGACCACAAGGGCGGCAGTTCAATCCCACCAGCCACTTCATGGAAGAACTTCATGGAAGAAAGATGAGGCTATCTGTTCCTATAAAGATGCACAGTCTCAGAAACCCTAGATAGGGTCACAGACATAATCGACTTGATGGCAGTACTTTATAAAGACTTTCTTACAAGGCAACTTAGCATGCGGTGTGAGACCCTTAAAAGTAGTTGCCATCTAGTCCACTATGGGAGTCCTGGTGTGACACTGTAGGATAAACACTGGACCATAAGGTTGGCAGTTCAAACCTACCAGCCACTCCTTGGAAACCCTAAACAGGGTCACTGTTAGTTGGAACCGACTTGATGACAATAAGTTCACTATGACTCATGGCAACCCCTGGTTGGTTAGCTGCTTATGTGCCGTGGAGTCGGTTCCGACTCATAGTGACCCTGTACAGGGTTTCCGAGGCTGTAAATCTTTATGGGAGCAGAAAGCCTCATCTTTCTCCACACTCTGTAGGGTTTTCAAAAGTAGATTGCCAGGACTTTTCTTCTGCGGTAACTATAGGTGGACTCAAACCTCCAACCTTTCAGTTAGCAGCCAAGCACATGAACATTTGCACTACCCAGAGACTCAGGTGAGAACGTCAAAGGATGAGCTAAGAAGTGATCCTTCTTCAGGGCAGCCCAGCAAGTATACCTTTCCTGTTTTACCTCTATTCCCTACCCTGTACTTTACGTTCCAGCTATACGGACTGCTCCAAACTCTGTATCCAAGTTTCTATCCCCATGTTTTCACTTGGGCTGTCCTGTATCTACAATGCAACCCCCTCTCAATGATTCCACTTACGACTAACATTCAGTTTAAAGTGTATTTTTCCTTTTTCTACTTGAAACTTTTTCTACTTCAACTCTCCAATGCAATTTTAATTTTATAGTACAATTCTTATGTTGATTGCCATAACATAACTCAAAATGCATCACTAAAAAACATTATTTTCTTCCCCTAGCTTCATGTTCTAGAACACGGTTGCTCAACCTTGGCACTGCTGACCATTTAGGCTGGGAACCTCTTTGTTGTGGGGAGTGTCCTATGCCGTATAGGATGGTTAGTAGCATGTTGCTGTTAAGTGCTGTCGAGTCAGTTCTGACCCAAAGCAACCCTGTATACGGTTTCCAAAGCAACCCTGTATACGGTTTCTGAGGAGCAGCTGGTGAGCTTGAACCATTGACCTTGCAGTTCAAACCGACTATGCAGTCTAGCACATTAACACATAGTACCACACCAGATCCCCACTTAGTAGCATCCCTGGCTTCTTAAATGTCAGTAAGCTCTCTCGTCCTCTTTTCCCCTGTTGCTACTGCTGTTAAATGCAGTTGGTACCAACTCAAAGAGACCCTGTATAGGGTTTCTGAAGAGCAGCTGGTGAGTTTGAACCACCGACCTTACGTTTCAAAGTAACCTAGCAGACCAGTGCATTATCCCACAACACCGTACCTAGCCATGATGAAAATGTTTCCAGGCATTACCAAATGTCCCCTTGGGGGGGCAAAACTACTCCCAGTTGATACTACTTTAGACTAGGTCAAAACCCTGGTGGTGCAGTGGTTAAAGCTTGGCAGCTAACCAAAGAGTCAGGGATTTGAACCTATCCAGCAGCTCTTCAAAATTAACGACCTAGTTCCTATAAAAATTATAGTCAAGAAAACCCTATGGAGCAGTTCCATTCTGTAACACAGGGGGTCACTATGAGTCAGAATCGACATTAACGGTACCCAGCAACAGACTACATCAAAGACAGGAAGCCCTTCTAGCTCACCAGTCAGGAGGCTGCCATCGTATTCTGAGCTGACCTTCACTGCTGTGCTCTGCACACTACTGTTAATCATCTGTTTACTTCTCTGTCTTCAACAGCACCCAGCACTGTGCTTGATAAATGCAGCATGGATGGCAGACCCCAGGAGGCAGCTCTACAAATGCCAAATCCCTAGCACCATCAAGCTGCTGCTCATCCCTCCAGCACTTTTGGTCACATCCTTCTTTCCCAACTTGAGCAGTCTTCACCATGCTTTTTTCTCATTGTGTCAAGACACTCAGGCATCTACCTTTACTACACTTATTTTCCAAAACTCTCCACTCCATCTAGACATTCTGAGTTGAGCAACCTGGCCTCAAAGTCCTGGGTTTCTACCTGCTCCAGGCCAGATGGGATGAATAGACTCCTCCCTTCCAAGGCCTCCTCAGTTGTGGGGTCAGAACCAGGAATAGAACAGGATGGCAAAACCACCTAAGAGACAAAGGCAGAACAGTCTCTCCATAGGTAGAGTAGCCAATCCAAACCTGTGCTGGTTTTTATTTTTTTATAGAGGTACAACATACATACAGCAAAATGTATTATTTAGAGATACAGCTCAAAAGGCTTGATTTTAAGCAAAAATGTCAGTGCACATCATTGGAGCAAAGCATCTCCCTGTACCCAAGGCCCTTCATCTGGGAGGGGATCACAACTGGATGACTTAGAAATAGCATAGTTCTAGGGATATACCCCCTCCTTAGAAACAAAAGATATCATAAAAACTGATGTCATTTATATACAATGGGGAAACCAAGCACAGGAAAAGAATGTCAATCAATCTGTTACTTATTTAAAATGTTTATTATCATTCCCAATTATCACTGAGTCTAGTAACTACTGTAGATGACCCAAACTATAAATATCTGTCACATTTATACATTTCTTAGTTTACTCTATCACACTTCTTGTTGTTAAGTGCCGGCAAGTCGGTTCCAATTCATAGTGACCCTGCACAGGGTTTACGAGGAGCAGCTGGAGGGTTTGAACTGCTGACCTTATGATTCGCAGTCCAGTGCTGAACCTACAGCACCACCACAAAAGCCCACTAGTCTGATAAATCCCTATATTCCCTGCTGCCAGCTATCTCAATCTCTGGATCCTGGCCCAGCAGAAAACGCAATTCTGCTATTTGAATTAATTAATAATAATGAAGAGGTGCTCACATAGAACCAAGTGGCTGAGGCTCCTAAAGTTCCTCTCACACCAGGTCAATACCCCAAATTTAATTTGAAATGGTTCTCTTTGCCCATCAGTCAGCATGCATGTATTTGGCACTTACAATATGCCTGGCATTGAGCGGGCTCAGGGGATTCAGGCGTGAACAAGAGAAACCGGGCCTCAGCTTCTTGGGCTCCAGACTTTGTGTCCATAAGCTACACAGCTACAGAGACTGTCCCCATAACCAGCATTCTTCTGGCTGCCTTTTAAAGCCAAAGGACTGTTTTCTCAGGAATACAAACACACCGGGTAGGGCTATTTTTGTTTACCCTATCAATCTGAGGAGATGACATACAAGCCTGTGGGCTCCCAGGCTTGTTCCTCACCTCCCTGTATAGACCCCACATCTGACTTACCCATCCACCCTCTGAGCAGATTCGCACTTTCTGCATATCTGAATGGCCATCCTCGAGTTCCCGGCTCTGAATCTCTTCTTCTTCTTCCTCTTCCTTTAGAGTCAACTTGAGAGGGTAGGCTGTGGACTCCATCTCTGCAAGAAAGATTCATTAAAAAAAAATAACTAGGTATCAGCATGAGATCCTTAAAGCCTGGGACAAGGAGGCTCAGTGTACACAGACATGTTAGCCCCAGACACTGCTCAGGTGGGAGGGCAAAAAGGGAATAGGCCTGAGGACAGGTTTTAGGGAAAGCACCAGGAAGTTGGAAGGTGACATATTTGATTATGATAAGAGGGACTGTGGGCAGAGAGTAGATCTGGCTGCCTTCAAATGTTTAAAAAGCTATCTGTGCAAGAGAGGCCAGACTGGTTCTGTAGGGACCAAAAGGGCAAAACTGAGGCCCGTGGATAAATATTCACAGAAGAGGCTCAAACACTGAATCAAAAGGCAGAACTTCTTCCCAGCCAGTGCCATCCAAACAGGGAATCAATCAGTGGCAGGAGATGGGTGTTGATTTCCTATCAATGAAGGTGTCTAAACACACATAGACATTTAATCAACTGGGTTGTTACTGGACATGAGTTAAATGTATTGAAGAGTGGCTGGTAAGCTTTAACCAGCGCATTAACCTGCAGGACTATTTGCTCAGAATACCCACTACCTACCTTCTCATGGATAATTCCCAACAGAAACATTCTGTGGAGTCGATTCAGAATATAAAGTCATTCTGCCTTTAAAAGGCTCTGGCAAGCCTTTTAAAGGAGTCAGTGCTACATAGTAAGAGGTAACGCAAGGTACTTAAAAGGGTGCGGAAATCTCTGCTGACCGCACAGACATTGGGGGCCACCCTTACTACTAAAAGACTCCTTGCCTTTGGGTCACAAATGCGCTCTCAGCTCTTAGGCCAGTACAAAGGGCCGCGCTCCTGCCCTCTAGGGAAGCGGGTAATTCCTAGGTGTGGGATGAGTGTGCATCTTGTGGGATGTATCCTCCAGAGATTCAAATAAAAGATCCCTCCGGAGTTCAAAGTCAGCTCCTTCAGTATTTCCCAAAGAGAAGGGCGAACGCGGCAGGGATAGGTCCGGGGCGGGCGGGGCTGGATTCAGACTCGCTGGAGCAGGGGCCCAAACTTGCCACCGCCTCCCAGGCAGGAGGTGGGAAAGGGCAATGCAGCAGGGCGGAGAAGCCCGCAGCCCTGGCTACCGCCCGCTCCCTCCCCGGCGCCCCGCCCGCGCAGCCGCCGCGCCCCCAGGCGCGCTTAGATTTCTCCAGCCATCTTGTCCCATTTCCCTTTCTCCGCGGCTCCGCGCCCGGCCGGCCCGCCTCCCAACAGGCCTCCTCCCGGCTCCCAGCGCACCTGCGGGTCGGTGAGCGGAGGCGCTGCCTCCCTCCCTGGGAGGACCCGCAACAAAGGCGGCGGCGGTAGCGGCAGCCTCGGCAC